ACCCGCAGGTCGCGGGATCTAATCCCGGCTGCGGCGGCTGCATTTCCGATGGAGGCGGAAATGTTGTAGGCCCGTGTGCTCAGATTTGGGCGCACGTTAAAGAACCACGAGTGGTCAAAATTTCCGGAGCCCTTCACTACGGCGTCTCTCATAATCATATGGTGGTTTTGGGACGTTAAACCCCGTATATGAATCAACCGATGCGATTGCTTTCCCGACATCAAGCATGCCTAAGGCAAGTTGTGACGACAAGTCACAAGCAGCTGTGTAGCTCAGTGGTAGAATACTGGGCTGGCACCCAGCGGACCCGGGTTGGAGCCCCACTGTGTCACTGGTGCAAAGTTCTTTTTTTATAATTTCGCGCGATGTGGTTACGGACATTGGCGGTGGCGGAATTTATGAGTTTTCAGCTCAATCGAAGCGCAGGGAAATCGACGGACAGACCTTGCGGGTGTGCAGAGCAGACGGTAGGTAATGCACCAGTGCTCTCGCAGTACATAACGGTAATCTCTAAAAGGAAGCAATTTACGAGAAAGTACAGTGACTATATCGGTGCGTTTCGGAGCCGGACAAAGAGTACAGAGGTCAAGGCACATTTATCAAGGAAGTTATCGATGGTTACCGACATGCTACGAGACGGTAGCACGAGACATGCTACGAGACGCAAAATAATTGAAATGTGCTTCTGTACTCGAATATGCCACCCTACACAATATGGCTGGCCTCGCGCTAAAAAAATTTTGATAAGTTTCTTGAAAGTATTGAAACAGCGAGCATTAAGTACAGGGTACAGCGGTGAATCGGAACATTGTCGTCAGTTCAAGTAAATTTACGGTGTTGCCACTTCTAAGAAAGCGAACGTAAGAGGAAGCGCTCTTTCAAAGAACTCGTTTTCGGCATGGTTCGTGCAGCGGAAACATGTTAATTCGAGTCTGCATATTGAGTTAGTTTTTCAAGATAATACGTTTTTACCACGCGAGAAACTATAAGACTAATAGTGTGTTACGGTTAGTACAATTGTTATTTCGCCTGAAATTCGCTGATGTGACAACCGAAGCGGGCACTTGCCCGTATTCTTCGGCGTACTCAGGAATCTCCGTTAGTTTGGAAGCTAGACGAGCTTAGCCTTGAAGGACGCGTGCTAACAGAAGAGGATTTCGCGTATACGCACATGCTGTGTGTGTCCTCTTGTACATGCGTCCTTCAAGGGTGGATGCGTCGCTTTTCCAAACTTTACACCTGCAGGGTAGTCTTGGCGCCGGACTTGGATGTTTTAGGGTGGCCTGCATACGCGTGTGCAGGGTTCCCCATCAGGTGGGGAAGGAGGAAGGAATGAATATCGCAGTGCCCCTTTCCCTACCAAGTCAAGCTATGGGGCAGAATTTGCGCCGTCCCCCACTCATATAGGTGACCAGGGCCAGACACGGTTGCCGATGCTCGCGTTTCCTTCCGTCGCGACGGTAGTTGTTGTTACTGGTCCCAGTATGCCCAACGACATAAGTTAAACATTCAACCAGCCCCGCTTCACAGACACTGATGGAACAGTGAAGCCGGTGGCCTTCCCTTAATCAGGCTATGGCATTTCTGTTTTGCAAGTCTTTTAGATATGCTGCACCATGGCTCTTTTTTGTTTTTGCTCAAAGGTGGCAGTATAATTTTTTTTTACGAACATCATGAGACAGCGGTGTGACTACGGCAACACACACGACATTTGTTGGGCTAACTTTTGCCTTCATATTTAGTGAACCAGTGGGACTTACCGAATTTCTCCTCTATGATGACCACCTGCGTTACCACGGGTCCCGGACGTGGGATCCACGTGTTCCTGGACACGAAATCTATTCACGCAAAACCCCGGAAACGCGGCGCAGCGTAAACCATCGTGAAGGAACACGAGCTTTCAATTAGAAATAATGGGAACACGCATTTGCCTGCGCATTGCCGAGCATGCATGTGCTCACCGACTTTCGGAAAGGAAGGAAGATAGGAGGAAAAGAACAGCAGGGAGGTTAACCAGCCTATAGGCAGCTGGTTTGCTACCCTGTGCATGGGAGGGGGATGGGGGAGATGAAAGATAGAGGGCAGAGAAGGAAGAGAGATAAACACAGCACATTCGGCAGCACACGCGCGCAGATTAAGATATTGGGTATAGGAGTGGTCAGCCGGTGAACTGGTGGAGGCATTTCAGATATCTACAAGAGGCAATGCTTGTGTTAGGAATTCGTCGGTATCTTTATTTGATAGTAAACACAATTTTTTGCACGACTTCTTGTAATCTACTTCGTTGTGACCATATGACCACTTTTGTTTTATTTGCATAGACCTGATTCATGAGTGTACAGGGTGCGCCAGCTATCTTCAGCCAGAGTTTAAAAATATGCCAACCGACGCAATGATGACGCCACCAAATGAATATTGCTGACCGTTGCGTGGAGTGAGGCAGGCTATAGCTTGAGTTCAAAATAACTGTTTAATTAGGCCTTTTTAATTAGGTAACCTTTGAAGGAACGAAGATGGGTCGAGAATGCCAATGAGAAAGTTGTAGATTGGTTTGCAAAACGTCCGATCAGACAGTTTCAAACTTTATACTTGTTAATTATTAGTGCTTCTATACTAACTATAAATGCCCAGGAAATACAAACAAAAATACCACGTGAAGCGCCTAGGTGCGTCTTGAGTGTGGTGCTTCCTAACGCTTCGCGTACGGACTGTACGCTTCCGTCGCAGCGCTTCATGAATGACAACGATAAGCAGTCGCTGTGGCTATTGCTTTTGTGGCCGATAGCAAAACGCGTTCATCGCAAAGCCACCACCATCGTCGCGGCCGAGACTGCACGATCGGGCAAATGCTACGGTCGTTCGTACGCGGAACGTTAGGGAGCGCTAAAATCCTCGTGCGCAATGGCGCTCGAGAGGGTGGGTCACGTGGCGTTTTTTTGTTTTGTAATTTGCCAGCACTTGTAGTTCCTAGAAAAACATAAATATTAACCGCTACAATGCTTGAAACTACCTAATTGGACGTTTTGCAAACTGACGAACAACTTTCTCGCTGGAGTTTTCGACCCATCTTCGTTCTTTCAAAAGTGTGTTAATTAAAGGGGCCTAATTAAACAATTTATCAGAACACAAAGTATAGTTTGAACCCTTCAGGCAAAAGTCAGCAATATGCATCTGATCGCGTCGTCATTGCGTGTTTCGGCATATTTTTAAACTCTGGCTAAGTATAGCTGGGGCACCCTGTATATTTCAAGGCTGACGAAAAATAATTCAATTGAAAATTTGGGCCAGTCGCTGTTTTGCAGATACCAATTTGCAGACACCAGTTTGCCTTGAAGTATGAACCAACTCGCCCAGCTGCAAGCTTTGCCTTGGCGGACGACGATTTAACCGCAAAAATTTTGCGGTTGAATCATCGGAATAGTTAAATTTTCTGGATAAAATGCGTGAGTGGTCGATTCAACGGACCGTCCGTCCAGTGTATTAACTAGGTGGTCGACGAAGGTGGTAGCCAAGGCCGCGTACGTGTGAGGTGCGGACCATGTGGAGGCACGGACCTAATACGTGATCCAGCATTGCCTCTGTGGCTGGGCTAACGCGGAATGGGCATGTCGTTAGGGAAGCTGTGCATGGGATGTCCGCGTAGTCCGGATGGCAGGAGTAGAGGCAGCGCTCACACGATTCATCCTGAGCGCAGACTCCTGTTGGCGAGCTAAGCCGCCGGGAAGATCTGATTCTTGCGGAGGTATGATTGCATACGCGGTGCGTCGGAGCGTTTCTTGGCGAAGCTGTCCATTGGGGACAACCGAAGGAAAGGCAGTTCTCATGTAGAACTTCCGCTGTATATGGCCAGTGGCAACTTTGGCCCATGCAGACCAACAGGTTCACAAAATATTGCCCGGACAGGACAGGAGCACGAGTGGATCAGTCGGTGCACATCGGAAGCTATATCGAGGGAGCTATTAGCTTTTCGCAGATCTCGAACAGCCTGCGTGCAGAATGCAAATAGGAGTAACAGCAATAATTAGTAAAGGGCGATGTTAAATCCCGTTCGATATAGGAGGTCCTTTTTGGAGGTTGCTCGGGAGCACTGTCGGAGTTTATTTATTTATTTATTTATTTATAGAATACTGCAGACAAAAAGTCCAAGCAGGGTGGGCATACATGAAACACACTAAATAACAGAGTGAAACAATGTTGCAAAGCGTTCTTACACAAGTCCTTTGCTATAAGACAGAGGGGTTATGTTTAAAAAAAAAAGTAACAGTTGAACAACAAGGTGCTAATACCATTCAAGAAGGTCATGGAAGAAGAGTATATACAAAATGGTCAAGGGCGTTGAGGAAATGCTTCGGTTAGTTTATTCCAATCATCTATTGTTTGTGGGAAGAAGGAGTACCGGAAAGTATTAGTCCTTGCGAAGATTGGCGTTAGGGAATGAGGATAGTGGTGTCGAGTGGGTCTGCTTAACAAGGGGGATACGTATACTGCGGTGTCTAAGGGTAGCCTGTGGTTCACTATGTCTGAAAGAAATTGTAGCCGACTTTTTGTTCTTCGAATTTGTAATAGTTCTATACCATTTGCTGTTAGTAATGCAGTGGGGGAGTCGGTTGACATAAATTTACTATATATGAATCGTACTGCTTTTCTTTGAATTCTTTCTAGGTTTTGGACGTTAATTTTTGTGTGGTTCGTGTCACTGTTACTCTTAATCATAGGCGATCACTTACTTGACAGTGATTTAGTCTAATACGAACTTGTACATGAGGTCGCTAATGTCTGTGCATTTCGGAGTCCTCAGAAACGCTGAGTGTGTCCACTACGTCGAGGACCGTGCACCTCCGGCAAGACTCCAACGCGATCGAAGCTTTCAAAGCGCGCGGCGCGCGCGAGTTATGCTTGACGTCACGGTGACGTCAAGCCCCGCCCACGGCCGAAAAGCTGTAGGGGGTCCCGCGCCGGCGCCCGTTCGCGCAGCCGCCTGCGGACGAGAGACTCGCAGGCCTCCGCCGGAGCCGGTCGCCTGGGCGTCGACGGAGGAGAGCGCGGGTGCGTCGTGCGGCCGTCGCCGCTGCTGGGACGAAGATGTGCGCGCGAAATGGGACGACACGCGGGAAAACGGCCTTCTAGTTCGAGGCATGGCGATCGCTGGCCGATCGAGTCGACGACAGCAGAGACCACGTCGCTAGACTTAGGCAAATGCAGGGTCCCGTCGGCCAGAGGTGCCCGTCAGCCCGGAGGAGGCGGCAGGCCGCCTTCCAGCTGCTGCTGCTGATGACCGTGGCGACGACGTCCGAGGCGCGCCCGGCAACGGAGCTCTCGGATGCGGATGCCCTGGTGAGTGGCTAAACTATTCACAGACAACTTCTCTGCATGTACGTGACTGACTAGCGGTGCTCTTCATTCCTTTATTTGAGTACATGGGCATTGACTACGCGTGGGTTCGTGCCCAAGGTAGGAAAAAAATGTTCCGTAAACAAAGCAACGTCGGACGTTTTTGAAGAACTCGACAGCACCATCATGTTTAAGGGTGACCGAGAGTCTACGTGCTTTCGTCCACAAGAATGACGGCAAACAGGCCGTGAGCTTGCGGTGTTTGAAATCGCTTTATTAGTCATTTGTTGCAGAGATTCATTCATATTCCCGGGTATTCGACTGTAGCTAGTTTTCTCCTGATCGAGACTTCTTTACAGCTTCCTCAGCACAGCCACGGAACCATTGCGCTAAATGGAACCACGGAGCGTACCCGGTGCCTTATTTTAACGTATTTTAAGTTGTTGTCCCAAAGGAACGAAATGCGTGCCGCTTGGCAAGTTTCACTCGGTACTTGTCAGGTCGCTTTCGATTGTTTGCCGGTGAAATCTGCCTGCGCTGCGCGGAAATGACCATGTCTGGCCTTCGAAAATTAGCGAGACTTGCACCAACCGCGTCGGAGTAACGCTTTCGATTTACGGGCTCATGTCTACTTTAGCACTAACAACGAGCGCCCGCGCGAGTATTTTGAGAGCATACATGTCGCGAAAAGCAATCACAGTAGTTTAGCACACCGTTTCAAGGGCGCAACTGCAGACTTCAGTGCTGGACAGTGAAGCTAGCTTCGGGAACATCTTTTGTTGGCTGAGGGGAACTTGACAGTATATTATTTATATTATATTATTTTATTATTATATTATTTGTATATTTAGTATATTATTCTTTTTTTTATTTTCCTCATAACATGCTGTTTGTTTTGTCGCTGCACAACATACGAAATCAATTATAAATGGAACCGTAAATTATGGCTCGTCTTCAAGAGCGCAGTATCCCCTCGTGTTTTGTATCTTCGTGATCCAGGAACCACGTTTGTAATTTGTCCGATGCGAAATACGGACGCCCTCGTGAGTCGAGAAAATGAGCTGGACCAGTGCGCTGACCCTGCCTACCACTTCCAGACGTTGATTAAATTTTGAAATGCTGCACTTAAGAGCCTATACGGGAAGCTGGTATCCTTTCGCACCCTATCATGTTTTTTTTTTCTTATAACGGTCACTTAACGAACCTTCTTCTCGACGCTATACAAGTCATTACATCAGATTTCCATATCGCGTCGTCTCTCAATACGGAAATTGCTGCGACGCCGAGAGCGGCAGCAATAGACAATAACTTGTCGAATCAACGAGTACCTTCGCTAGTGTGAGTGACTTTCAATGACACGAGTTCGGTCCGTGGGCATTTCGCAAACGCCGTGGATTTGAAAGGGACAGGAGCCTTCCATTGCTGTCCATTAGCAGAAACACCGAAAGTGTTAAAGTTTATGAGCACGATATGAAAGCGCTCGCAGATGAAGAACCAGCGCTCACTGCAGCGATCAGTTCGATTGCAATATTGGACGGTTTCTTCTACGTCAGATCACGCGATCGAGTACGTATCAAGGGTTGGAAAGCTTTTCGTCAGGAGACCCGCTCGCTTTCTCGACACCACGAAGCACAGTGCCCCACACATGTGCACCTCTATTTCACGTTGCAGTATTGCAGTGTACACAGCGTACATAGCCGAAACCACTACACTACATACGTCGTGGCGTGTACCTACACGTCTAACAAAGAAACAAAAAAAGCGGAGAGGATTTCCTCGCCACGTCAAACGCGAAATGTCTCGCTGCAGTACGTTTCCTCACTACCGAGAGCCGCGGAAGGGTGCGGACCATATTTTTTTGTGTGTGTGTGAAGCGGAGTTGCACAAACTTCCTGAGCAGCCGGACTGCACCGCCTCCGCCGTGTCTTTCTGGGAAGTGCGGTCTCTCGGCGAAGCGCGCGTCTTTAATGCACGGGCACAGAGAGTACGACCTTCTACGGCCGGAAGAGAAAGAGCCGACGATTAGGGCGGTCGTTTGGGAAAAAAAGACCGCGTCTCTTCTTGCCGCTGGATCGGTTCTGCTCGGATGCAGCAAAAGGCGAGCGCGAACGAATGAATTCCCGCCGTCGCCGAGAGTACACAAACTGCGTCGGTCCGCGCTTCTGACGGGATAGTTTTAAATGGGCCGTGAAGAGAAGCTGCGGTTTCTGGCAGCGTTAGTGGGGGCTTTGCTTATATCATGTAATGTAATGGATTCACGCAGTTGGGCTTTGCGAGGCCTGAGCGCAGGAAGCAGTAATTTTTAAAAGACGGAGTGGCGGCACAAAGACGGGCGTGGAAGCACGTAGACAGCGGTGCTCACTCTGTGGATGTGCGTCGATTACCCACGCTCCATGCGTCTTCCTGCTTTTGCCATTTCGAAATTATTCGTTCATGACTAAGATGCAGCCCTATCGATGATCCCCAGGAAGGAGCCACGCAGTTTTCAAGCACAGAACACAATACGTGAGTGTGCAGTCAGAAGTCTGACGTGAACTAGTCCGGACAGGGAAGTGCATGGTGTGAACTCGGAAGTTTGATACACCAGCCAAAATGAACACAAACTTTACGTGACGTTTCGGCCCCACCATACGGGTGAACAAGTCTCCCGATAGGGAGACGAAACGTCAAGTGAACTTTGTGTTCTTTCTTGACCGGTATATTCTTTCGTGTTTACACAATACCTAAGTATGTCCGAGAAAGCGGTCGAGATAAAAAAAATTAAAAAAAAGAGAGAGAAGGGAATGAAGATGTACGGGGACTCATTACAACGTAGCAGCTAGCCTGAGATAGAACAAAGCTGAAGCGAACAGGTAAATTTGTTTCTGCGTGACGAGCCAACTCGAAAGCCTACTACCGTAAGCGCAGGGAGCAAATAATAATGAATATCATAAATATATAGATGCGGCAATTGTTGCAGGCATCTCAAAATAGTTCTCTCGAAGTCCGGTTTTATTGGCTATTCAACTATAGTACACTGCGATGGTACAACAATTTAAGCGTGGGGTCCCAAGACGCGCTAACACACTTTATTGCAGTAGCTTTTTTTTCAATTTAATTTTTTCTCCAATTTAATTCAACAGCCAAGGAGCCAGAACATTCATGGCCCGCAGCCGTCATTGAGAATACCAGAAAGGGTTGGGTAATGACTCAATTGGACATCAACTTTTGAAGCAACCTTGACGCACTAAGCGCACCACCTAGTTATGACGTAACCAAGGCAACCGTAGCTCTCATGCACCTCCGATACTTCAAAGCGTAGTAAAAACACAGCCTCTGCTCGCTCTTCTTTACAACTGACGCTTACGTGAAAGCGAACTGTTCATACGTACCCGGAAGCAGGCCAATTATAGCTTTCGGCTCTTGTGACGCATTATAAGAAATCCTGACGCAGCTATAAGTGACCGAAGAGTGTAAATAATAACGTAAAAACGCGGAAAATAAAAATTGCTTAGTAAAGTATGAGGGATCCATTTGATAAGTTCTCTCAATTTCTATTGAGTTAGTTTACCTTGCAGAAGATTATGAAAGGTAAAACGCCAGACAAAGAAAAAAAAAAAGACGAAGAGAAGAAAGAGACTATGATAGGAAAGCTCTGAAGCGAAGTTTGGTCATACCGTTGCATAACGGTAGCGGTCCGCGTTCGCAAAAGCGGCTGGTCGTCTGCGAGGCCACTCGGCTTTATGGCAGGTCTGACCTAGCGAAAAAAGGCACAACCACTAAACAACTGCAAATGCCAGTTCAAGTGGGCGCAAAAATATTTGAGAAGTTATCCTGACATTTCAGTTTCCATGCGTACTCACCAGTGTAGCGGTGCGTATGACCACAAACAAACAAACACAGCAAACAAACAAAAAGAACGTAGGAATTATTTCTAGGCATAATTTGTTTTCAAATATACCGTCAGGCCACGGCTGTCCAGTCACCACTGCAGTGTGCACCGGTATATACATCACCATCACAAGCTGAGACAAAGCTTTTACTATGTTTGCTTTAATTTACGAGACCTGCCACCGCAAGCTAAGCTGCACTTCATCACGGTACAACCCGTACAGAATGAAGCGAGTTATTTCTGCCTGTTCGCGAGAGAGAGACAGAGAAAAGCAAAGGAATGACTGGGAGTTTAACTGTGTTGAACGAGGTTTGCTACCGGGGTCGCCCGTTCAAAATGCTCGTGGAAGTAAATCTGTGGCCGGTATAACTTATCTCAGGTCGTCGTCATGAGTTTGCACTTGTCCTAAAATTGACTTTCATATATATAATAATAATTCTTTTTTTTAAATTTTGCTCACACGGGATTCTTGGTGCACCTCGATTTCCGAACTTGTGTCGAGATGAAAGAAAATGTTTTTGTGTTTAAAGTAGAGGAGTAGTTTGCTTCGCACGGAGGCATCGTTTTTTGAAAGAATAAGCGGATAACGAAGTTACACAAGGGAGCACGCTTATACAGCAAGAATTCGTTCGCCGTGACTTCGAAGTACCTCCATTTCGCTGCGGTCGATTCAGCGCTTCCCGTCGGGATTTCCAGTGATCTCATCGAGTTCCCCTGCCTTATTTTTTTTCCTTCACTTGGACGTCAAATTATAGATAAGTGCGCAACCGTGCCTTTGGAATCACTCGTAGCTTTGGTGACGTCAGCGTGCAAATAGTCTTCATGCTCAGACGGTCGCTCGAAAACGGCGCTGTAGCGAAGATGGCCAACCAAACTATGAATAAGGTCGACACATTCAAATACTTAGGAGTTCTCTCTCTTTTTTTTTTTACCACAACTTGCACTAAGGAGAGACCAGATTAATGCTTTTTGTAGAAAACTAGCTTTTAGCTGTTATGCACTGGTCCTTTCCCACCAATAATTTCCTTGTCCTCAACTTCGTTTCATATACTTTTTCCTGTTTCATTCACACCATGGCTAATGCCGTGAGACTTGGGGTTAAACAAATAAAACTTATTTAACATCTATACTG